TGTTTCCATGGGCCAGAGTGGCATCCAATGCAGTGGACTCTTAATCCATCGAAAGTGTTTGCAGCATGATTCCACAATACTCTGTTATAGCATCATGTACAGAGTATCTAGCTCTGTTAGAAATCTACTATGGTTCCTAATTTTGAGATATTTAAATAGATCATCATGTAAAATTTATTATTTTTTCTTAATGTTTCAAGAAACAATGTTAAGAGGTTAGAAAAACATGATTATATGCAGTAAACATACACATTTATGGATTTTTGGAAAATGATATGAACTGATTATGAATTCTAAACATATCTAATTGTACCAACTAAAGTAATAGATTCATGAATGTTTTTCTTAAAGAGAAGTAACAGAAACCAGGCTCTTCCCACATTCTCCCAAAAACTCCTCTGCTTTTAAAAATGAGGAGAGTGCACAGCAATCATCAAACAAACAAACAAACAAACAAACATCATGGTCTCACATGGTTGCATCCTGTACACACTCGAGAAAAAGCCCTCTGAAGTCAGTCGGGATTATATCTGAGTAAGGCGTTAAAAGCCCTAAAACATTACTGTACTGAAAAACACACGGACAGGCAATGTCCAGATGTAACCTTCTTGTCTTTCATGAAGACAGCCCCATGTGTTATCTAAGACTAGTCTGCCAAAGTTGTTAACAGCATTTTCAGATATACCGGCAAACCAACATAGTGGTTTATAGTTAATCTGCTATATAAATAACACCCTTGTGTTAACTTTATTCCATTAATCAACTGGTCCTCTGGTATGTAATGGCATTCAGAGTTGTGGGGTGGGGGGAAGGAAAGGAAATGTCATTAATCGCTTGTATGGCACTTGATTATCAAACACATAAAATATCATAGGCAAATATTAGATAACTGAGCACATGTGCACTACTTAGAAGCTGGCAATGTTGAAGATAAGTGTTTTTTCCCCAGTCCTCTGATTTTTAAGCTGAATCAGCAATGCTTCCACCTCTGTGAATCTCAATATTCCTCTGGAAAGGTGAAACCCACTGAGAAGGGCTCGTAGGAGAGTCCCTCTCCCAAAGATCCCTATGCTGGGTTAGCCGGCAAACTCGCAAAGATCTGCTTTGCCTGCTGGACAGATTGTGGGGGAAATTATTTTGCTTCCTATTTTGAATGGTTGCGAGGCACACTCAGTCTTGTCGTTAGCGTCTGCCAGCACTGGGCATTTTATAAGAGCCTGCAGATGCTGTGCTTGTCCTAGACAGAGAAAGAAATGCTCCAGAGCTGCAAAGTTTCTTTTGGAACTTCCTCTCCTTTGTGAAGTGATATTGATCCAGTATCTAACTCTGAAGAATTGACGCGACATGCAGAATTTTAGCATGCAGCTGACTTACAGTGACCTGGCATATAGATCTCTGTCATGTGCACAAGGAATTCCTAGTGTAAGAATAAGCACACTAAAGTAAGAGACAAGTTCTGTGGAAAGTCTGACAGCAGTTTTGAATTTCAGATGCATTATGAGCCAGTTTGCATATTTACTACCCTAGCAAGGAGGTGACATTCCATTCCCAAATAGAGCAGACAATATTGTGCCATCTGAAAGTAAATAGTACAAATATATGTCCCAGTATTACAAAGACAAAAATAAGTATTGGCATCTTGTGTTGAGAATGCAGAAATAGGCATCATACCAATAACGTAGCATAATTGGATAAAAGGTACTTCACACTGGCATTTCAAACTTTGACTCCTAACTGTGTGGCTTCCCCTGCTGGAAGGCAAATTATCCCTATTTATTTCTTTTTGGATCATGTGTCCTGGCTTGCTATCATTTAGGCTTGGAGCACAGAACAACACAAAAATGACTGTTGTGAATCTGTGTAATCTCAAGGAATGGTCCCATCATAAGCAGTGTGCCCCTTGCTTCCTCACCTTTGACTTCCAAATTCTTGCCCCAATGGAAAGCTCTTACATGGCCTCAAAAACATAAGATTACCTTCTCCAAGAGCCCCCCCCCCAACCATAATTCACCCTCTCTCTTTTGGTGTGCATAGCTGCCAACAGTATTGCAAGATAGTACCCCATCTGATCTGACTGTTTTTGCTTATTTTCTTGGTTTACGCCATAAGTAGTGTTTGAACTACACCCAGCTTTTAAATGTCCTATGCAAGTGCATACATTAAAAGCGAACAAATGAGCTCTTGACAGTCGAGGGAGCAACACCTGAAGCCCAGTCAATAATCAAGGAACATGCAAAACCACATTGGAATGTCTCTTCTTAGAAGTCAAGTCCTTGGGATTCAACTTCCAGCAGGGGTGTTTCAGACTGCTACTGACATCTGCAGTAGTGCGGCTCTTTCAGCTAAATTCATGTGTGGAATGGGCTACCTGGATGTACGAAGGCCCATAGGACACAGGGATAAAACCTCCAACTTCCCCATGGCTGTCTGGGACTTTCTGTAGTTTGCCAAACACAAAGAGAGCAAGATTGCCACCATCAACTGGCCAATTGGATTGGTTAATCATGGAAATGGGAATTTACACTGGGGGGGGGGGAGTGCATTCATTATCAATGTGAGAAATAAAGTTTAAGAACAGAAACAGAAGGGTCATTTTCACCACTTTGTGGGTTTCAGAAAGGCGCTCAGAAGAGTGTTTGCTGCAATTCAACAAGCTGAAATGCAACAGCACTTCTGAAAAGTCCATTTGGGCAAGCATTACTTTTAGCTCTATGCTGAGGTATGGTATGATACTTCTGGAGGTCTTGTTTCACAGCCATTTAATCATGAACTGTATCATTATGCTCTTTCCAATCTTTGCTGTCCTTTAGCCTTGCTTCTTGCCACTTGTGGAAAATCTTTTCAATTTTTAATCTAAATTGTTTTAAAAAACAGAAAATAAAGCACTGCTTGGCCCTTAATTTCTCCTAGCATATTTTCAAATGTACAATTTTGAAGACTATTATAGAAGAGATAATATATAAGGCTGCAATTTGCAGCTTACTTGCTCTGGACTAGTAAATTTTAATTTAATAGGATAACTTCAGAGTAAAGAATTGTGGATTGTAGCCAAAGATTGTTAAGTAATGGCAGACATGATACATTTATTGTTTCTCTAACTGAGTAGTAAAAGCTCAGTCTAAACTCAGTCCAAAGTATGTGTCTGGGACATTTTACATCTGCTTGGGCAAAGACAGCAGAAGATTCCCACAAAGCTGATCTTTTCTACCACCCTATCCTTGCTTTAGGCTTTACAGTTTGTATCTGCTTAGGAGAAGCCACTAGATTTTGTTTGAAAATGTATTTTAAATTATTCTTTCCAGCCAGTACAAAGGCAAAGAGATGCAGATGTGCCCCTTATTAAAACACAATTTTTATGAAGTGAATTATCAAAGTCATTGTGGTAGATCCTTTGTTTCAAACAATTGTATTGATTTGCATCCACTTGTATTTTTAAGAAAAGCATGCTCCGGTGTCTTTTTTTCCCTCATACAAGCAAGGCAAGAGTATTCATACTATTCTTGCATTTTGTCTTTGTAATTGCAAAAATTTATATTTGCATTTTGTCACTATTGACAGAAATCTGTGCATCTCCAGAAATTTCCCGTATTTATATTATAAACAGTCAATTGTATCCTAGTCTATGTCAGTACTGTTGCTGAAAGAACTGTACCTAAGCACCAGTGTTGGCTGAAGACCCCAAATTAGTTTTGTTTCCAAATAAAGGATGTATCTCTTTCCACATTCTGTAATCTAAATTGCAAAATATATACTCCCCAGTCTAGGTTTACAGTCTATTTGTATTGCAGAACTCAAGAAACATTGAACATCTTTCATTTATATATTAGCATATATGAAATGTACCATAATTTAAATGTCAGAGGGAAAGTGCTATTTTGGTCTGGTAATTCTTTTGGATGAATGCTAATTCAACTTTACAACTTGAACTCTTTTTTTAAAATCCCATTCAAATGAAATGAATAATTAATCTAGTCAGTGATAGGGAAAACCTAGAGGATTGAATAAAACATACATCTGGGTTCAAGGCCACAAATTACAGACCAAATCTTCGAGTAAATATATTTATATATTTGCATATCTTCGAGTATATATTTGCAGTCAAAGGAGAGAAACCAAAGCAAAAACTTGCACAAAGGTTTGGTTCTGTGTTTACCTATCAAATGCAATGTGGGAGGGGCACAATCCAGCAACACAAATGCTGAACATCTGTTTAACCTACAAAATCTCACTAATACCAGAACGGAGTTGGCTGTTTGAAGGAGGACTGGCCCCTTGTTCTCTCCCCAAAAAGACAACACTGTAAAAACACTGCACGCCTGCTTTCCCCATCTATTCCCAGACTCTTAAAAGTACACCGCCCTCTAATCCTACTAGCAGCTTTTTCAGCTCTTACTTGTCAGTACAGTTCCTCTTGTCTTTTCCTCCCTTTGTAACAAATACAGACCTGCAAACCCGAGGAGCATTCAGCCTGGCCATTTCCTTCATGGGAACAAAACTGTGAAAGGAGACCAACGTTTACATCTGGTATGGCCACATAGAATACTTCTCCCAGAGACAATTCAGCAGCTAATGTTCAGAGTCCTGTATCTGCATCCCAAAGGTATTTTGATTGAATTAAATTTCCCTTCACTTTGGTTTGAGGTCCAAATCTTAGGATTACACGGCTAAGATAATAAATGACTTTTTCATGTTGAATCCCACTAAGAAATAGCACGGAGACAAATATTCCCCCCTGGGATTCCTGGCTTGCATGACTGCAGGGACAGGAAGGGTTCTTCATGAGTTCAGCCATGCAAGAGCCCGAGTATTCCCATTTGCAGACGGGGAACTGAGGCCAAGGAAAGAGCAACATGCCTAGCGAATGAAAAATAAGCCCGCTAGCCATGTGCCACCCATGCCTCACTGAAGCACAGGGTGCAACAGAAGCACGCAGACCATGCCCAGCATGGGAAGAAGGGGGTGCCTACCATGGTGACAGCCTTGCTGGTGCCCCGACGCAGCTAGTGGGATGCCGACATGGACCACGCTCCTTCCATCCTCCACACGGAAAAGGCGTAGCTGAGCCTCTCGTGAGCCACATAGCTGCAGCTGTTCACCTTGTTGTCCATCTCATCGCTCTGCAGCACCTGGTAGAGGAAGTCGATGTACCTGGCCGCCAGCTTGAGAGTCTGGATTTTACTGAGCTTGTCCGAAGGCAGTGTTGGGATGATCTTCCTCAGTGCTGCAAAGGCTTCATTGAGGGACTGAGTCCTCTGCCTCTCCCGGACATTGGCAAGAATCCGCTGGCTCTGGAGCTCCTCGTACGACTGGGCACCTGGGCTGGACTTCTTCCCTCGCTTGCCTGGGGCTGGGCTTCCCTCTTCACTGGACTTCTTGCTGGATCTTCTCTTCCTCCCAAATCTCCTTGGCGGCCTCTCCAGCTCCTCTTCACTGGTCCCCAAGCTATCCACAGGAGAAACAGGAGAACTAGAACTTTCTTCCATTCTTTCTGTAAGGAGGGGAGGGAGGGAAAGGAATTCTCCCCCCTCCTTCAATGGTGGGTGTCTGTGGGTGTTTTAAAAGTGTGCTTTAAATTCCTGAGACACAGCCTTTGGAAAAACAGAAGGGTTTTGCTGAGCAAACGTTTTCCAGGTCTCTTGAAGGGATCTTATTTCAAGGACCGGGCTGTGCAAAAAATTGAGGTCTTGGAGAGAGGAAGTTATTCTAACTTTTTTGGAAACTTTAGCTGAGCTCAGTTGCTAAATAGTTGTCAGAAATGAGGGAGATGCAGGGCTGCTTTCTGATTGGATAGGAAGGCCAGTGGGAGGAAAGCATTTCCCCCAGCTAAACTTTTACAGTTTTATGTTACAGTTAACAAAATCCGGGACATGCACCTTCTAAAGGATACAACTGCAGCTTTCCCCGCATTCCCAATTGTGTGTGTGTGCACACACACACACACACACACACACACACATATGAACGCCTGTGTCAAACTCTCCAGATTAACCTTGCTGGGAGATAAGGGTGGGTTGGTGTGTCCGTGAGCGTGCTAAGTTTGTTAATACTGAAACGGAATGTCAGGCTGAAGCTCCAGACTGCAGAAGTGCCAAGCGCGGGACATGGACATGGCCTGGGGAAGGGGCCACAGCCTTGCCCCCCACCCAGCAGCACAGCCCCGCTGCTTTAGGGGCATGGGCTGCAACATGGATGTGTAAAAGGTCCTGATGCCTTTTTCTTTTCAAATACCTGCATCGCACTAGAGATGCTTCAACGCTCCTTCATCATCCCCAAAGATTCTCTTCCCAGTGTGGTGAGGGAAGGCCTGTTCTCTTTAAAGCAAGAGCTCCTTGAAGAGTTCTTTCAAGTTGTTCCCCTTTTGCTTTATTTTTGGTAACTACAGTTTCAATTCGTACAAAATTAATTGGATGTTATGGTTGGATTGTGGTCCAATTTGGTGCAATATATTTTAATTCAGTATAATTTTCATAGGTCTACCTCTGGACCTAACCCACAGAATTTGATGGAGGGGCTGTCTCTTAGTGTGGAAGATGGTCTTTGCATTCAGAAGACCCCACAATCAGACTCTCGTGAAGCTGGGGAAGCCTCCTTTCTGAAGCCCTGAAGACCTGCTCTCCAGGTGGACAATACTGAGGTAGGCAAGACAGAAGCCAGTCTCTGTTCGCATGGCAGACCACAGTGTCCCTGGCACAGTGGCAAGCCAGCAAGTGGGGGCACCGGAGTGGGCATATCTCGTCTTCTTTTGGCCCAGCAGATACCCGCCTGCAATCTGAAGTTCTTTGTTAGAATAGCCTAGCTGTTTAAGACTTCCCGTGTCTCTTGGGATTTACAGTTATTAGGAAGGTGTGCCAAACCACTCAGAAATTTTCTGATTTCCCAGCTAGATTATACATGTCAGAAATGGGGTTCAGGTTAAGAGGCTGACTTTTATAGAATTTAGATTTTCATAAAAAATATCTGTTGGCTCTCTCCTTCTGGATAGCTTTCCCTACACCACCTAACTGGACAGCAGAGATGCTCTCTCTCTCTCCTAGTCCATTCTCTCTATGGTGAACTCTGTACATGCTCCAGAAGCAAGGTCTATTCAAGCTGGTAGCACATAATCCTTGTTTTGGAATCCTGTGTACCTGATTGTTGCTTTCCTTTGCTTTCCCCACCCATCTGGTTGTGCTGGTGTGAATGAGATGGGGAAGATAAATGTCAGCTATGTATGCCTAATCAGAATTAAGTCCCACTGTGTTCCATGGGCAAACTCCCAGGAAAATGCACATGGGATTGTAGCCAAAGTGGTTTTTGCAGGGTGGTTTCCAGACTGATCCTCTGCAATGTTTACACAGACAGACAGACGAGAGAGAGAGACCGACTGACCAGAAGTGAGAACTTTCTGGTGCACTTCTTGGGATACTCCGAGATAGGCAGTTTCTACACCGTTAATCAAAAGGCATGGTACAGCTACTCCACCTTCCCCACCTTAGTTATTTTTTTACAAAATAAATGAATATAGATATAAGCAAAGAAAGGTGAAGGAAGTGCTGGGAAAACTCAGGAGGTCTACGAATGGATGCTGTCATCGTCTGAGCCTCTCATAAAATCCTGTCTTTGACTCACAATGATTGTGCGGTGAAAACCACACCTGGAGACATGCAGAGGAGTGCAGGCTCTCCTTGTGCTGCGGCAGCATGCTGCTTCCACACAGCGGTCTGTGCCAACATGTGGCGGTTGGCAACAGGCAGCAGCCACACAAATTCTCCCACTGCACCTTCCATTTACAAAGTTACCACGGTCTGAAGTGGACAAAGAATGGGGGGCGTGAGGGGCTGTAACAGCTGCTTTGCTTGCAGGAGGCCCCAGGTTCTGCCCCGGCAACTCCAGCAGCATCGGAAAACACCAGCCTGGCCAGATGGGTGCTATGCCCGGCTCAGCACAATACAGCTTCTGCTGAGATAACAGAGCAAGGCTGTGTGGCCTCTGACAGGCAAACCACACCTTTCCAGGAGTAGTAGGATTGGAAAGGGAGGGCTGATGGAAGGGGAAAGTTCACAGGCTGAGACCGGGTTGGGGGCCATCCCTTGTACAACAGCAACACATGAGCACATGTGTTGTGCTCATGCTCTGCTTTTCTCAGCAGAGCAAGTGAAAGGCTTCTGATCACTGGATCAGGCTGGCCAGTCGTTGCTGGCTTTGTAATGCAGGATGCCTGATAGATCAACAAGAAGCACCTGCTTGCTTAACTTGACCATAAACCTGAGCATCACAGACTCCTCCCCTCCCTCTTTTGCAAGGTCTCCCTGCAACCTGAAGCCGGTTGGATCTCACCAGCTGCATGGCTGATCTCACAGCTCGTTAACCTTGGCATTTCAGCTAAACATTGTGACCCCTCCTCTTCCTCTAGTTCACACTCCGAGTGTGAAGTCTTTACCCTGGAATGCTGTATTTTGGGAGAAGCAATCCCATTCCCAACACACATTGTTAACACTTCCTAGAAGCCTTCCACATACTGATCCCAACTGAGATGCACAAAAAGTTCAATAAACACAGACTGATTGATTTCCAGCTATCAATAAAAAAATTCTCAAGGTGCTTCCCAGATTAAAGCAATCAAAACATTTTAAATGATCAGATCTAAAATTTCATAAAACAATTTAAAACAGAAATCAATTCCAGAAGGCTGGACAGGAAAACAAAAACCCCTTTTTTACCTGCTTCCAAATGAAGGTTAGTAGATTGTTTTATACTGCTACAGATGAGGCTGTGGATCACAAATGCAACATCTGCCAATGGTTGGGACTGATTCATAGGCATTTAAAGGTTAAAATTAAAACCTTGAATTAGATCCATAAACAAATTGGTAACTAATACAGATGTTTCAAAATGGGTGATATATTCTCCTCAGTGGCTGGCACAAGACTTTTAGGTTGATGGTCACATTAGGAATTTGAGGGTTTTGTGGATGCTCTGACAAAATGGATTTCATGGGGACCTTTGCACATTCCTAAGGTGGCTGTCACTCATTTTCTGGAAGGCAAACTGGCAAGATTACTTGCCCAGAAGTCTAGGCAGAGGTTAGTTGTCATGTCCCAAATATAAAAGCACTCTTTTGAACCCAAATACAGATAGCATTGAAGGGCAGCACTTCACTTTGCAGCCCTCCTGTTAAAAACATAATGCAAAAATCTTTAGTAAAATAAAAAGGCTCTAATAGGGGTGTCTGGTGGTCTCTATATGCACTTAATTGAAGACCTCAACTGATGAACCCACACCCAATAATAGCTGGCAGGAGCATTTTATACTGGCAAGAGCTACTGCATCAGTATCTAGAGCAGATCCACACAGGAAATTAGAATAGTCACTATCTGGAAGCACTAGCCTACAAATTTTGGGAAATTATCAACCTCTCAGATAAAATGTGCTAATTCTTACATAGTTTGATTAGATGAATTGGAAAACAGGTGATAAAAGGTGCTGGTTGGCTAAAGTTTTCAAGATATTTCACAATAAAGATTTATACACGTTTGCCTACAAGGGAGGGAGGTGTCTGATGATCATGATGCCTCGTAACTTCTCGGCAAAGTACGGCAGGACAATGAAAATGGTACCACATGGAAGTGTATAAATTCATCTTCACTTTGAGACTAAAGATTATTACCTAACTGTAATTTATTGTTCTTTTATCGCAAGGTATATTTGTCTTGGTCTATGTACGCATCATACAGTTACATCTGGTGGCCTGTGAGAGTGTCATTTCCAAGGAACAGTTGCCTGATATTTTCCCTCAGAAGCCAAGATGCCTCGAAACTGTATAAACCACACAGATAACTTCGGCTACGTTTGTGGCGAGGCTACATTTGCATCTCAAAAGTGCAGTATGACGGCAGTGGTAAAAAGGCATATATTTTGGATGCAAAATAGGGGATCAGGACAGGAGTTGGGCCCCTCATTATTGTTGCAGCACAAGCGCAACTTACCTGTGTCATTGGCTAAACAAGAAGAAAAAGTCCATGCCTTTCGCAGTCCCAATGGTGTGGAGGGAACCCACCAGTCATAGTAGCAACTGCTGTTTTTGCATAGTTCCTCCATTTAAAAACCAATAAATGAATGGAAAGTTATGTTATTGGTATCAATAAAAAGATAAATTTATAATGATTGGTGTGGCACCATTCTCATGGTTATATCACATTTTGAAGAAAAGTTAAGGAGCATAATCACACATCCCCCTTGTAATTTTGAATTATTTTGATGCAGTTTTGACTTGACGCTGTATCTTGGAAACTGGAGCCAATTAATACTCAGGACTTAATTTCCTTTTATTTACCCAATTCTGGTAAAATTTTAGCTACTTTCATTTCTGAGGCTTTCTCCTTGTAGAGCAGTGAAGTTAGCAAAGCAGGAATGCCAAGCAACCTCCAGCCTTCTTTGCTAGGTGGGGCAGGCAGACCTATCTCAACATGAGAATTTGAAGAAATGAATCCAGGATTTCCTTAGA